ATCGGCCAATTTTTTTTACCATTCCTGGTAACGTCGGCCACTTGAACGACCGATTTTTCATTTTTTTAAAGAAAAATCGACCAGTTTTCTCCCCATCTATGGCCTGCATTACTCTAGGCCTAGAGGCTAAAAGCTTCCTTAATAACTCCTGAAACCCTCAAGGTTACCACAGTCTCACCTGCCAAGAGACACATCACCCCCCAGCATTGTTAGCATTGTTATGTAATCCGAAGGCTTGTTTGGAAGTGATGGGGATGTCAGACAAACACGAGGAAGAAGAAAGTACAGTGTATTCTTTCACCGTTGAGTCACTCTGTGTTTCTGACTATAAAATATAGCTACTTGAATGTGTAAAACCACAGGCTTTTACTGCACTGGTCATAGCAAGGGAAGCAGGAATTCCACTTAAGACAAAGAGGTCTTATGTGTTTCCAATACAATGAACAAAGCATCAAATCTAACCACTGAACCTTCCACTAGGCTTAAAGGTGTACTCTTTCTTGGCAAGGACTAGACCTAATGACTGTGATACAAGACAGCAGAGGTATAGGCCCTGTGTCTGTGCTTCCAGGCACAAGGACCTCATTTGCTTTACAATGGATGGTGGTGCTATACCTCTGGGGCAAGGAGATGGATCTGTATTTCTTGACACCGCGGTGCAGCTTTGAAAAGCAATTTACTTGCAGATATAGGCAACAAACCACTCCATTTTTCTTGTTCAAAAAGTTTTATTTTGAGTACAGTACAAGAAATGGAGAATTAAAACCCCCGTGAAATAATATGATTTAGGCAGACCACCACGCGGGGAGAGGTCATACAGGAGCATAGGAGAGATAGTTCCTCATAAATATAACATATCCATCCAGCAAGAGATGAGAATAGGTGAGAAAAATAATCAAAGATTTACAACCCATCATAACAGAGGATGGAACTCTGAAAGAAATATTCCAGCAACCTCCAATACTGGCCTTCAGACAACCCCCCAACCTCAGAAATAAACTAATCAGTAGGAAACTTCCTTCTGATTATGATGTCACAAATAATGGAAACACACCCTGCAATAAGAAACGCTGCAAGCTGTGCAACCAAATCAATCCATCAAAAAGTGTCAGACACTCAAAAGGGATCTTCAATATCTCCAGATCATACAGCTGCACCTCTAGTAATGTTGTGTACCTTATCCAGTAAAGAAAATGTAACAATGGATCTTATGTTGGCAAAACAGGACAGAAGTTGCAAACAAGGATGAATTTGCACAGACATACCATCAAGGAACATAAAGAAGATGACCTCTGCACACCTGTAGGACACCCATTTTGCACAACCAGGCCACAATATGGAAGACCTCAATGTTTTGGTTCTGAAAGGAAAATTCGAATCTATCCAGGAAAGAAAAACATTTGAAGTAAGAATGATAATTCTATTTGACACAAAAGATAACGGCCTTAACTTGGACATGGGATTCCTCAACCATTATCCGACAGTTTCATGACTATCTATTAGCTGAAGCTTGACCCCCTCTGTGTGAGTGTAGTATCCCCCCCTTGCTTTTGATGTATCTTATCTGTAGCCTTTTTTTTTTTTCTCAATCTCTTCTAACATTCTGCTTAAACTTTGTGATTTGTAATAGTACTGCTTGGACCTTGAAGAAGGGGACATACCCCAAAAGCTTGTCCTCAAAATTGTATGTTAGTGCAAATAAAAAAAGTATCACAGACAGTATTCAATTGTTTCTATTACCATACAAACATTAGTTAATTGCTAAAAGGAAGAAGGGATGAAAACATGAGCCTACAAAAAAATTAAGCATAGGACAAACCACACTGTTTTTAGCCTGGATGTTTGAAAGAGTTTAAGTATTTTTTATGCTGCATAGCTGGATTGTGTGCTGGGGAATTTTTATATTGTATGGATCTCTTCACTATCATCATTTGACATATTATATTTCTTTCTATTAAGTTTTGTACTGATCCCTATAATAAAAAAAATGTGTAAAACATCTGATCAGACCCCCTTATATCTTATACATGTTTTTTACATATTTTTGTTTATTTTTATGTATTATTATTATTATTAATAATAATAATAATAATAATAATACTAATAATAATAATATATTATATTATTGTCAGATGTGTCAGGAAAAGCACTCTTAAACGATAAGTTCACCTTTTTGCTGAAAATAATAAATGCACATTTTTTTCTGGTATAAATATGTGCATTTATTATTTTGGTTGCAGGAGCCTGTAAAGCATTGCACCAGTGATTAGCAGACCACTGGTGCCATGCAAGTCTCCTGCAGATCTGTCAGTATATCTGCTTGCCTGTACGGGAAGTACGAACAAGCAGATATATTGACAGGAAGAATCAATTAACTACCAGGATGCTCCACAGCACAGTGGTAGTTCATTGAGAAATATAAGCCGAGAGCCGCTAAGGCTGTTGGGTCTTGTAGTTTCTCATTCACAGAGGACTGAATGAGTGATGCATCTGGGCAGGCGGAGCCCTGCACGGCCACGTTTTTTTAAAAAATCTGACAGTTAGCTGGGGGAGAGAAGATGCTAGCTGTCAAAGTGGGGGGTGGAGTATTCATAAAATGTTGCATGTTACATCCTGAATTGGGGTGTAACATGTTATGAAAGGTGAACTTATCCTTTAAAGAAGACCTTCACCCTTTTGAGCCAGTTTTGCATTTAGTGCACACATGCATAAAAAAATTATTTTAGGACTGAAAATGATGTAAACCCCCAAACATTATATTTTTTTCTGAAAGCAGATACCCTAGAGAATAAAGAAGCTGTAGTTCTAACTTTTTATTTAACACGATATTAGCGTAACAGTTTATGAAATGCAAAATCTCAGTAACTAGCACACTAAAGTGAATTTTAATGCACAAAATATTTTATATTACCCAACGCAATAAACAAAATAAAGAGCAAAAAAAAAAGTTTCTTCGTTTCTATTATAACATTTTGCAAAACAAGTGCATTGATGTGCGTTGATGAGGCTGCACTGATGAGCACTGATGAAGTGGCACAGTTAGACAGCACTGATGGGCACTGATAGGCTGCACTGATGAGGTGGCACTGATGAGATGGCACTGGTGGGCATTGATGTGGAGGCACTGATGATGCTGCACTGATTGGTGGCACTGATAGGCGGCACTGATAGGTGGCACTGATGGGCGACACTGACAGGCAGTGCTGACTGAAGGCACTGACTGACAGCCCTGACTGGCAGCACTGACTATAGGCACTGCTGAGCACTGATAGGTGGCAATGATGGGTAGCATTGCGGGGGGCACTGATGGGAGGCACTGGTGGGTGGCACTGCTGGACACTGGTGGGCGGCACTGCAGGGCACTAATCATCAGTACCCTGATGATCAGTGCTGATCTCCTCTGACAGCTGCCGGTTTTCAGCAGCACTTTCCTCACACTGTGACAGCGTGAGGAAAGTGCTGCCAATAACTCCATTATCTGCTGTGTCATTGGACACAGCTGATCATGTGGTAAAAGGCCACTGTGATTGGCCTTTTACCTTATCACGTGACCAGCTGTGTCCGTAGCACATAGCGATTACGGAGATCGCCGGGTGCCGCGCCCCTGAGAGGACGTCATTCTGCTATAGTGCAGTTACCAAGTGGCTAATGAGATCCCGGGTGTCTTACCTGTCCTCCAATGAATCTAATGCACTGTAACTCGTGGACCTAGAAGTGAGGTTTTACATGTTGCTTCCAGGTCAGTAAAAGGAAGGGTAGACCAACATATAGATGTTCTTTGTTCTATCTCCTCTCTACCCAACAGCACTTGCCATGCTCATCCTGGGCTCAACAATGGGTACGGGGCTCAGGAAACATCGTATCTAGATGAACATTACATATTTGATGCCCACAGCTTCCTGGAATACCAATGTCATGCATCCCAGGAGGCTTTGGGGTGCTATACATTGTGTCCAGGGGGAGGCAGCATTCTCTTCCTGGTTTTTGCAGCAGGCCCTTTGATGAATCAGCACATGTGTATCATCAGGGGGGCATCTACAAGAAGCTGGAAGACACAGTCAGCCCCATAATGATGGCTTAGAAGAAGGTAGCGACTGACAACTGGGTGTGTAGTAGCAGATCCCTTCAGAAAACTTGCTGGATCACTGGGCATGAGGGCATGTTTTTTGTGCCAAAAAAGGTAAGCGGAGGGGGAGTAAAGTTCCTCTTTAATAAATTTCCGGACTTAAAAGGAACTTTTAATGTTCATTAAGCACCTATTTTGAGACATTATGGAAATGTTTACCTTAAACTAATTTTTGATGACATTTACATCTCTTCCATATTTTCCTTACTATAGTAAATATAGAAGTTTGAGGATTAGCCAGTAGAGGGAGCTCTGCATTTAACTACAATGAGTCCTTGAAGAGGATAGCCGATGAACTGGCATTTTTTAAAAGGAGGCCAACAATGCCATACCACATATTTTTTCATGACAGGTGCGCTCAACCACACCTGGACAAACAATCTCTCATGTAGGATAAATGTTCTAAATCTGTATTGGTAACACAATTGAATGCCAATGGATTCTTTCCCATAGAATACTGAGGTCCCAAAGAGCTTGAAAAATTTAGCTTTTGACGAGAACAACCCAATATTTTGTATGTACTTCATAAAGTAGCCATTTCTTTGAATTATCATGGCCTTACAGTAACCTGAGCTCAAATAACTACCCCATTAACCCAGATATAGTAGAAACGTGCATGTAGACCTCCCCGAATGACCCCTTCTGTCATCAGACAGTGCACTGCATAGAAACATAATCATATACTACACTGATCTAACACATAAATATAGAGATTGTCTGGAGATAATGACAAACACAAGGGGAAGTTATTAGCAGGTGAGTAATGATATCTTTAGAAAAGAAGGCCATTTTCTATTGTGTAATACAATGCTCTGCATTGCTCACTATTCATCATCACTATTCTTAATCTGTAGTCCATGACATGACCTCCACAAGGTTCCTGTACAGAAGTATATGTAAAGCTAAGCTTTGGTTGTACCAAAAATGTTTGCAAATTAGATCAAGATGTTGTATAAGATGTCGGGCATACGACCCATACTATCACTGTACTGCTCCTTTTCTTATAAGCAACCAGGGGCGGACTGACCATTTGGAAACTCTGTCACTGCCCGAGGGCCCGGCGTCAGTAGGGGGCCCCATGAGATGCACCTGGTACCTTTTTATAGGCTTTTTTGAGTTTGAGCAAGGACACAGGGGCCCATGAGTTGTCAGTCCGCCCGTGTAAGCTACCAAATACGAAGTGTAAGACAGGTTATGTAGGGTGGTGTCCTTTTACTGCATCTGTAGAGTGACACTTTTTGGCAAGTTAGAAATGTCAGAAGATGTTTTATACCCATGCCAAACATTGTCAAAATAAAGTCCTGCTCACATTCTGACTAGCTTTAACCATGTTTATTGTAGTGTCGTGACCAGTGCCACCATGACATACATAGGGTTCAAGGGTAAAAGATAACATCTCTACCCGATGTCAGTAGAAACAACTGATCTTACATCTGCCTCGAGGTGAGGGCATTCAGAATGACTGATGCTGGCAGAACACACAGAACCGCCATCTTTGGAACACAGGCCCACTTTCAGGTACCTACCTTTACTTCCTCATGGCTTTCATCACTGCTCATCCCTGCACCCTGAAGTTGTCCCACCTGACTACCCACAATATTTAGCTGATTTTTGGGAATAAATTGCGCCCATCCCCCCTCAACACTTGATACCAATTCATGTAACAGAATACTTCCAGGACGCAGTTTTGCTTACCCAATTTTGTTGTCACATGACACTCCACAGAGCCTCTTCTAATAGTGGTCCAGTCTTGTTTCCACCCCCTCAAGTTGTGATGTCATGATGCCATCACTTGAGGTCTTCAGAACCCTTTGAGCACCCTGTGATGGATTGTTTAGAAAGCCAATGGGAATACCAAGGAGCAATGTAGGCTCTGTAAGAAGGACCCTCCCATTCTGTGGTCCAGAAGAGAGGAGAATAGGAGCCTGGCCTATCTTTCAGGAGAGAATCAGGTTTTTTCATCAATCTATTAGATTTGAGAGAGGTGTCCATTTTCATTATTATTAATTCATTTTCAGTTGGTAATTTTACACTGTTTTGTCTGTGCACCTGCTGTGGCCATTATTGGAGGGTTCCACTCTCCTTTTTGAATGTTTTACTTGGTTCATATTGTGAAGGATGCAAAAACAGAAGCTGAAAAACAAAAGGGGGTGAGAACATCCAAAAGCAGGCAGATATCAGCCCCATGTCCACTCCGCTTATGCAGAGCAGACACAGCGCACTCTGCTCTATGGACACTCTGATCCAATCTGGCCAGTCGGAGGGGAACGATCTCCTTTCATTTGTTTTTGCCGGATTGGAGGTAGCCTGGTGTAAACGGACCCAAGTCTGTTTACATACGACTGCTCATAGAGGAGAATGGAGGGTCCGATCGGGTCCATCTGAAAAACAGACAGGTTGACCCAGTCGGACTGCTTATGTGAAAGAGGCCTGATAGTCTTATGAGCCTCTTCTGCCTCCTTCACCTCCATATTTTCCAACTGCAAAAAGGTTTTGCTTTAAAAGTGGATAATTTAAAAAAAAAAAACATTCCTTAATCCCAGTCTAGGCAAGGATGACGTACCTGGACCCTATGCATGTGCAGAAAGCCTACGCATGTGCAGAAACTCTGGGAGCATGCGCAAGATCCTGAAAACTGCCTCCTGGAATTTTTAAGTCACGCATCCCGAGGCAGTTTGAGCGATATCAAGTGTGAACAGAAATGCCACCATTTCTATGCCAATTTACTGGCAGGACCCACAGTGTTTCTGAACATGTGGTAGGGGTTCAGTGCATGTACAGGGGATCCAGCAAATGTGCAAACATGCCTTTGGCTCCAATCCCATAGACCTGGCTAAGATCCTTGCAGTGTGTCTGCACATGCTCTAGATCTCAATTCAAGATGGTGGCAGTGGTGAATAACAGTGTAGGGAGATCTTTCCCTGCATGCGAGACAATCCTGGACTCCTTGAACTAATAAAGCCGAGTTCCACTCACACTGTAAAAAAATAAAAGTCAGCAGTTACAAAAACTGTAGCTGCTGACTTTTAAAAAACAGCCACTCACCTGTCCCATGATCCCGCGGTGCCCCCGCCACAGACCATTTCACCAGCCATCCTGTATTCCAGACGCCACTATCTTCAGTGTGGGTATCCGGCTGTGACAGCTTGCGGCTTCACAGCCGGGTGCCCACTGCGCATGTGCGAGTAGCGCTGCACTTCCTGAATGGCACCATCATCTTCTGGGACCTGTCATGTGTCCCACAAGACTACGGGGAGGGAGGGTAGGAGGACAACTTCCGATCGCCCAGGCAACCGCAGCGGAAGTGGGAGCGGGTACCTGTCAATTTCGGGTACCCACCCCCCCACTCCCCAAAGGTGCCAATCCTTAATGGGGAGTGGGGGACCAGGGGACCAATCTTTAAAGCGGAACTTCCCCTTTTGGGTGGAACTCCGCTTTAAGTATGTACAGTATATTATTATTATTTTTTTATTATTTTATATATATACAGGGACAAGTTTTGGTAATTAAAAAATTGATTTTTGATTGTAAAGGTGGATTTCCTTTTTAGGGATGGATTGCTCCACAGTGCTCGCAGCTACAGGGTTGAGTAAGGGCTTTTTTCACAGCTTATTTACTACTTCTAGGAAAATATTATTACTTGAATGTCCATAGCCCATGTGGGTTCACGTTAGGTTTCAATGATGACATGGTAATTAACACCCAACTGTATTGCTTATAATTTTCTACTGATGACATATTCTACTTATCAGTGTGCAAAAAATTATCAGAACTATTGCTGATTGGTCATTGCTACATTAATCTTTGCTTTATTAAATTAAAATCCATGATCGTACCCAAACATAAGGAGAGATGGAGAATTTCACGCCAAAGAAAACATCTTGGATTATTTGCTCCCTTTTATATGGTTGTTTGTTGATTACATTTAACCTACAGCATTATCTGCTTCTAGGAAAAAAAAGACATGACTTCTAAGGAATGTCTGCTGGCAGTGGGCTTGTTAAATTAACTATTGCGTTATAGCTTTTCAACAATATTTTTTTGAAGAGTAAACATATCAGAACAGGTTTGGCATATTTATAAAAATGTCTCTATTGTACCTCTGTTTGATTTTGCTTGACATCTACTGTATGAAATGCGTGGGTGTAAAATATACAGCGAGGAGGAACATCTGAACTTTTAGAATTGGCCCGGTTCCCTGAAATACTCTTTTGGAGAGCTCCTCCATAACCTGGGGGCCTGAAAACAGACAGATCCATCTAGAGAAAGCTATTTAGGGCACCTTTAAACTAGGTCAGGACAGACATTCTAGAATGTGTTCTGCACAGGGACCCTAAAGAACAATTGGGTTCATCAGCTAGTAGGTAGGAACAGAATGGCCAACCTGTGCTTTCTAGAGGGATGAATGGCCATGATTTAGATCCATAAGGCCTCATGTACACTGGGCATTTTGCACAGGTATTTAGGTGCAGGAGGAAGGAGTGCTGCCGGCAGCCTGTTAAACTCTATGAGAGGATGGCAGCCGCTGTGGCTTGATGGGGCTGGATGGTGCACCGAGCTGTGCTAATATTAAGCTCTAAAAGGACAAATTTCTAAAATTGCAGACTATTTTAACAACTTCCCATCGGCCATACCCATATATGTGGCAGCACGGCAGTAAGCTGCAACATTGTGGTACATATGTGGGCAATGCCAGTATCCCTGCTGTGGGTTAAGAGCATGCTCAATGACGAACCCCCAGCATTGAGAGTGTACTGTCACTAACAGTTCCCAGCAGGGCGGACTGACAACTCATGGGGCCCCCCCGGGCAATAGGGTAACATGGGGCCTCTGTTTCCTTGCCCAAACTCAAAAAAGCCTATGAAAAATGTACCAGGGGCATCTCATGCAGCCCCCTACTGACCCCGGGCCCTCGGGCAGCGCCCATGTTTCCAAATGGTCAGTCTGCCTCTGGTTCCCAGTAATTGTTAACATGGAAAGAATGGACTGTCAATCACATGACCATTGTGACAGCTATGTGACCATTTACTCGGGAAGGCCTGGTATTAAGATCCCTTTAAAGGGCCAGTTCCCATTGGCAGAAAAAGCTTAAAGTGGTGGTAAACTTCAGACATGAGATATGAACAAAGCATATCCCTCTATCGTGTGTACTTGTCTCAATCCAGAGCACCAAGTGTCATTCCTGTCTGCTGCTTCCTTCCTCTGCTATCAGCATGATTCTGACAAGTTTTACTGACATCAGGAGAAAAAAGGTGACGGGGAGGGAGCTCCAGCAGAGTGACAGTCTTAACTCTGTTTCTGTGTGCTGTGTGAAGAGGGTGTGTCCCTTCCCTCCAATCAGCTCTCAGAGTTCCCCTCACTGAGCTCAGCAGAGTGCAATGTCAGCTCTCTACCCCCCTTTTTCTGAACTCTCAGACAAGCTGTATAAATTCTGGACATTGAATGAATGTAGAGAAGAGAAGACTGCAGATAGAACACTACAACTTATGTAGGGGGATTTGTTTCATCTCTCCTGAAGCTCGTCACTTCACTGAGTATTTTTAAGGGTTTACTTTAGGTAGGTAACAAGCAAATAAAATATGAATTCCAGCCAACACTTTTTAAGTGGTAAAAGTAAAGTGGCAGTTTAAAAAAGTTAGTTACAAAAAAAAAATCAATAAAATAGTTTTAAAAATGGTGCTGACCATTGTGTCCACCCCTATCAGTGTTGTAAGGTTTGTTTGAACTAGGTAACATTCATATTTGCTGGGCAACGTGGTCTTCATGGAGAAATTTGGAAATAAAGGCATGTGAAATAAAAAAAAAAAAGAAGATTCATAGGCTAACATTATTTATATATTATAGACATTTATATTGTACCAACAATTTATGTAGTGCTTGTATATTCAAATTAGTCCCTGTCCTCAATTTTATTATTTCAGGTACTTGTATAATGCCATCAATATTTGCAGCACTTTACATATATATTGTATATTCACATCAGTCCCTGCCCTCAAGGAGCGGACAATTTAAGGTCTCTAACTCACATTCACACAACCTAGGGCCAATTTAGGTTCCAATTAACTAACCAGCATGTCTTTTAAATGTGGGAGGAAATCCAGCACAATGGCTAAATGATTAGCACTTCTGCCTCGCAGCACTAGGGCTGTTGGTTCAAATCCCAACCACGACACCACCTGCCTGGAGTTTGCATGTTCTCCCTGTGCCTGTGTGGGACTCCTCCAGGTACACTGGTTTCCTCCCACACTCCAAAGATATGCTGGTAGGTTAATTAGCTCTTGTCTAAATTGGCCCTAGTATATGGGAGTTAGGCTATGTTCACACTAACTTTGGCGACAGGTGTTTGGGAAGTGTTAGTAACACTTCTCAAATGCCTATGAAAATTCTGCACATGGCAGCACACAGTGCTGTTCACACTGAAACGTTAGCGTCACGGCAAAACTGACACCTCATGTGGAGTCAGGAGGAGTTTAAGCCTCCCATTCAAGTCTATGGTGCCGCTCCTCAAAGCCTGGCAGGCGGTTGCGGGGCATTTGTGAAGTGTTAATACCATTTAACTTCATTATAGGCTTTTGTGGTGCGGTTTTAATGCTTGGCAAATCAAACGCCTCAAAACCGCTCATAGGGCGTTTGGGGAGCATTTGAGGAGCGTTAAAAACGCTTCCAAAACGCCTGTCTAACACCTGTCAAACGCTGTAGGGGCATTTGGCAAGAGTTAGAAATACAGTCAAGTGTGAACGAGCCCTTAGGGACATTATATTGTACGCTCCTTGAGGGTTAGGGACTGATGTGACTATACAATGTATATGTAAAGCACTGCGTAAAATGACAGCGCTATATAAGTACCTGAAAAGAAATAAACCCATACAGGCAAAACATGCAAACTCCAGGCAGGTAGTGCTGTGGTTGGGATTCAAACCAATGACTCTACTACTGCCAGGCAGACATGACAGCCACTGTGCTGCCCAAAGAGCTTATCAACCATGGTCCCTATTTCACATTCATACTTACTCATATTTGAGCCAATATAGACAGGAGCGAGTTACTGAGCAGCATTGTGTTGGAGCAAATTGGAACACCTGGAGAAAATTCGGGCAAGCACAGAAAGAACATGCAAACACCATGCACATGGTATCTTGACTGGGATTCATTCAAACTGCAGGAACCCCATTGAGTTAAGAGAATACAATATTGTTTTGCTTTAATGAAGGCCTGCTTAATATAGACTTGTCACCAGGGGCGGACTGACAACTCATGGGGCCCCAGGGCAATATGGAATCATGGGGCCCCTGTGTCCTTGCCCAAACTCAAAAAAGCCTATGAAAAAGGTACCAGGGGCATCTCATGGGGCCCCCTACTGACCCGAGTTTCCAAATGGTCAGTCTGCCCCTGCTTGTCACCCATGTATAGTATGGAGGTGATCAAATCATTGGCTGTGCATTGGACCATAGTGTCACCAGTAGTGAACCTCTCAAGTTTTTATTGAAAGCCAGGGAAGATTTTTTGGACAAATTTTCAGGGACTAAATAACCTAGGGCATAAATAATGGACATTTGGCAACTACAGCATTGTCTACCTTTTATTTGTGAGCTTCAACTTGCTATTTAGTCCTGTGGATCCCGCCAAGATTTGCCGATGACTGAGTTTTTCAAACACTTTTTTTCAGCCACTAGGGAAACTTTCCATTACTCATTGAAAAAAACCCTCTTCTTACATTCTTGTTTAAATTTCATCCAGTACATACTGGTTCTAAATGCAGCACATTGCTTACTTTGAGTTTTCTTTTCTGATGCATGCAAGTGGAACAGTAGCTCGAGAACCTGTTTTTCATTCTCTAGGAGCCAACCCTGCGAGTTTCTCAGAGGCAGGCGAGGATATAATGTCTCTCCTGTGGTGCTTTTGGCATTGGCATGTCACATGACAAAAGATTTCGGAGAACACTACATGGGCTATTGACACTAGCTGGAGGGCAAGGAGAGAGCCTGAGAGATTAGGATTTATTTTGAATCAAATTTGAGAAGCGAATTGTCTCCGTTCATATAGCTCTTCATTTATTTTATGTTTATGGCTGAATTTTGCTTTTAATGGGCCTCTGAACCTGGCATTAGAAATATTCAATGAGCGGTTTGTTTTTAGTTACAGATGTTTCAGTACACACGTGGCTTCACGTGTGTTTGCAAATACATACAACACAGTTCAGTTGTCCATAGTTTTTATTTTCACTAACAAAGTGGTTATAAAGACTTTTTTTTAAATAACAAACATGTTATAATTACCTGTTCTTTGCAATGGCCCCAAACCGTCTCTTTTGGGGCCCCCCACTGGTGCTCTTGAACCTTCTCTTCAGTGTCTGCCACCTTAGCAACCCCTTTGCTTTGGGGGCAGATGTGTGGGCTCGCTCCAGAGCCAGGCTGTGTGTGTCCATAGACAGACACAGCACGGCTTGGCCCTGCCTTAGGCTCCTTCGCCACAGGATTTGATTGACAGTAGCAGAAGCCAATTGCTCCTGCTGCTGCCTTTCTGTCCTGTGAATGCAGGGAGAAAGGAGAAATGCACTAGAGAGAGGCACAGTGCTGGATTTAGTGAGTAAATTGGGACATTGTGTACTTTTATGCATGAAATGCGTTAAAGTGATATTAAAGGTAATTAAAAAAAAAAACAAACATGTCATACTTACCTGCTTTGTGTAGTGGTTTTGCACAAAGAAGCTCCAATCTTCCTCTTCTCGGGTCCCTTGACTGCACTCCTGGCCCATCCCTCCTGCCTAGTGCCTCCAGTGCAAACAGCTTGCTACGGGGGCAACCAAGCAGGCTCACTCCAAAGCTGCTGCTCTGCATGTCCATTCACACACAGAGCTGTGACTTGGCTCCGCCTCTTCTCTCTCCTTATTGGCTCACTGGCTAATGGCTCCTGCTGCTGTCATAGCCAATGAGGAGGGAGAATCCCCGGGGAGCTGAGGTTCTCGTACATAATGCTGGATTGCGATGAGGCTCAGGTAAGTATTAGGGGGCTGATGCACACAGAAAGATGCATGAAGGTAAAAAGCATTTACAGCCATTGTGAATTTAAAAAAGGCTTGACTTTAGAACCCCTTTATATAGAAACTTCAGCCCCCTTTTTGTTTTGGCCATCCCTCCCATCTGGTGCCATGATATTTGTTATTCTGGTTCATGTGCAGATGTGCCAAAGGGCTCTGTCTGGCATTGGATCCCGGAGAGACTTTTTTCACACATGCTCAGACTTGCCGAGCTTTGGAACTTGCCTACCAGCCCCATCATCATACATATGCAGATAATTTGGTAGATGTGCCTAGGGCTCTACTGTGACCTCAAGCCCTGAGGCACATCTGTGCACAAGAAAAATTGTGGAATGGGGCAACTTTCATTCTCGTCTAGGCAAGACAGGAGTGCTGCTTTGCAGCACAAAAACTCTAAGCTAAAAAAATATAAAGATAATATTCAAAAGTGAGATAGGGAAGGGGGAAAAAACAGGAACATTATGTTAAAGTGGAATAATGGAATTAGTGGCCTTCTCCTTCTGTGCCACCATTTTACAAGGTCCGGTATCCAGCATGTGGTAGAGACCAGCGGCACAGCTGTACATGGGTGGCAGATTTCTGCATGGGTGCACAGATGTTGCCAGCTTCTGCCGGTGTTTGGGGGCATGCACAGAAATCTGGTTGCACAGATGCTCTCTACAGTTGGAGTTTAGTAACATTACCTCCTAGCTGTCACATAGCAATCTTAGGAGGCATTGGTGCCTGGGTGCCCAGCCTAGGCCAGAAACCTGGAAGTGCCACACAAAAAAGATCTAAAAAGTGAAAAATAGAATAATTTTTTTTAACAGTTTCTGTAAGAGGGAGAGGGATGGATAAAATAAGGTTGGTGCAGTGAGAATTCCACTTAATTTATGGTGAAGGTCCACTTTAAAGCTAGTATGGTCTTTACTGCATACTTACATTGATCCAGATTGGAACAACATCTCATACACAGTTTACTATGCTTCAGTGATGAATGAACACCAGAGTGATCGGAACTGAACACTCACTGTGTAAATTTAGGAAGGGGCTTTAAAGCGGAGCTCCACCCAAAAGGGGAATTTCCACTTTTAACCTTTTTCCCCCTACTCCCCATTAAGGATTTGCACCTTCAGGGAGCGGGGGGGGAGGGGACCCGAATTTGACAGGTACCTGCTCCCACTTTCACGATCGGAAGCGGAGGTTGTCCTCCCTCCTCGTAATCTTCTGGGACACGTGACAGGTCCCGAAGACTACAGGCCATTCAAACAGCGCAGCGCTTCTCGTGAGCTGTCACAACCGGGTGCCCACACTGAAGATGCTGGTGCCAGGGAGAGAAGACGGCCGGTGAAACCAGCAGTGGTGAGGACACAGCTGGGACGAGGGACAGAAAAGTGTCTGTATTTTAAAAGTCAGCAGCTACAGTTTTTGTAGCTGCTGACCTTTTTTTTTTTTCAGATGGAACTCCGCTTTAAGTGACTTTGAATGTGGCATGGTTGTTGGTGCCAGAGGGGCTGGTCTGAGTATTCTCTGATCTACTGAGATCTTCATGCCCAACCATCTCTAGGGTTTACAGAGAATGGTCTGAAAATGAGAAAATATCCAGTGAGCATCAGTTGTGTGGATGAAAATGCCTTGTTGATGTCAGAGGTTAGAAGAGAATGGGCAGGCTGGTTGCTGCGACATTCAGATGGTAGGGTCAGAATTTGACTTAAACAACATGAAAACATGGATCCATCCTGCCTTGTATCAATGGTTCAGGCTGCTGGTGGTGGTGTAATGGTGTGGGGGAGATTTTCTTGGCACTAGCAAGATGTACCTAATAAGGTGGCTGGTGAGTGTAGGTTGGTGCTACATTGGACCCAAGGTATGGTGTAGTGTGGGGTTTTCAAGCCACCATTCATACACAAAGTGGGCTGCCCCCTGTACAGCCATGCATTGTAGTGGGCCCCCTAGAGGAGTGTCAAGAACTGAAGATGGCTAGGATCCTGCTCACAAGAAGTTCTTTACCTGTCATCACTTTCATCTTCAGTCCTAAAAGAATATGGAATCTATTCCTCATTTAAAGCTGAACTAGAGGCAAACAGTTAATTACACTAATACAATATACATACAGGCCATTCAAAAAGCGCAGCACTTCTCGCGCATGCTCAGTGGGCACCTGGCTGTGAACCCACAAGTTGTCACAGCCGGGTGCCCACACTGAAGATGCTGGCGCCAGGGAGAGAAGATGACTGGTGAAATCAGAGGTGGTGAGGACACCGCTAGACCGAGGGACAGGTAAGTGTCTGTATCTGTATTTTAAAAGTCAGCTGCCACAGTTTTTGTAGCTGCTGACTTTAATGTTTTTTTTCAGGTGGAACTCCGCTTTAAACATGACATGTTTACCAACCAGGGGCGGACTGACCATTTGGAAACTCGGACACTGCCCGAGGGCCCGGGGTCAGTAGGGGGCCCCATTAGATGCCCCTGGTACCTTTTTCAAAGGCTTTTTTGAGTTTGGGCATGGACACAGGGGCCCCATGATCCCCTATTACCCGGGGGCCCCATGAGTTGTCAGTCCGCCCCTGTTACCAACCCTCTCCTGACACCAATCCCTTTCCCCTAGCAGCAGCTGTAGCTGGCGAGAGGAGGAGAAGAAGCACCCAGCATCACTACAGGGAGGGGGCACTGGAGATCTGTGAGGGGGGGCAGTACAGAAGGGGTGGGAGCAGCTGCTAAGCCCCCCTGTGGCACTTGAAGCCAGCAGGAGGGGAAAGGAGAAGAAGTCAGCAGCTGCAGGGGAACCACAGGGAACCGGTGCTGTGGGGGAGATGGGGTATCAGCGGTGCAGTTGGGAAATCAATGCTGGGGGCTGTCAGCTGTCAGAATTTCCGGAAGAATCTGCAACTGTAGAGTGCAGGGCAAAGCCAACCTAGCTCTTTCTGCTTCCCCAAGCTCTGTGTGCTGTGAATCCGCAGCAGGATGGTCAGGAGGAAAAGCACTTAGACCCACACAGTGTCCAGAGCAGCCTGCTGGGGCTCCACTGATATCTGGGGGGCACTGCCCACCCCAACACCCCCCACCTATATCTTGCTTTTGGATCAGAAAACCTAGCCAAAATGGCTGAATTAATTGACTGAAATAGTTAATTTCACCTAACCTCCATCTTATGCATATGGAAAACTTAAGGCCCCATTCACAGTGCTGCATCATGCTAACTTGTTTTTTCATGCCTTTTTTGCATCCTCTATTACGTTTATTATATTACATATATTAGTGTACTTATAATACTTTATATTACATATATGTGTCATACTGTATATATAATTTAATAATTCAGCACATAAAACTCTATACTTTATAATAAACTAGACCTTTAACTTTATTCTTCTATTTTATATTGCATACATTGATATACTTATAATACATATGTGTTATACAGTGTATATATTATAATATCATGTAATCATCTAATACATGAAACTTCCTCTTTGATATAAATAATCTGTCATTCAGACTGACAAGACCCTTAACCTCTTTCCTCTTCAACCTTATGCCCCCTGCCACTGATCAGGGCAACCAATAGCCATCTCTACTGGAAAGCTTTGCCATAAACAAGCTCTATTAAAGCAAGATGACATTTTATAAGACACCTTTTTTTTGGGGCGGCTTAATCATGTAGTTAGTGCTTTAGAATGTCGGTGCTGGTTTTTCGGTTGAGCCGTTGCCATGGCGATCGGTGAATGCTCTAAAGAAATCCCTCCACTATTTTGTGACCTCTCTTCGGTCTTTTCCACTCAAGGCTTTCTCTGTTGATAGACAGAAAGGGACAATACCGATTGTGAGAATGGGAGGCGTGGGAGAGCTCAGTTACTGGAAGAGAGTGGGAGATGCGATGCACTTCTACTGTGTGACCCACTCCATCTCCCAGTTCTCATTTCCCCTTTGTTCCAAAACAACTTTCTTTCTATTCTGTACAGCATGGACCTTTAAAAAAAGCAAAAGAAAGAACGAGAATTTCTCCGGCAGCAATGTGGGACTCAGATGAGAACTTCGGTGTGAATAACCGAGGGCCTTTCAGATCCTCGCTGGCTCTGTCTGGGGTGTCAAACCGCATTTCAAAAGGGCCGATACAGTGAAAGCTTAAAAAGAATTATTCGGGAAGATTTAGAAAGGGGCGCATGTACGTTCACATGAAAAGGAGATATTTACAATTCATGTTCTGAGGCTTAAATCTCTGCCGCTTGGGCTATAAACCGGGCCCATACCCTGCTGCAGTGAGATGGGAAAGAGCAACACCTTTTTTGTAGGCCACCTAGAAAATGAACAAAACAAGCAAGAAAAAAAAGTAGGCAAAACACAAATACTTGGTACACTCCAAATCAAAATTCTAGTGTGTCAGTTGTCAAAATTAGACGTTAATATGTCCAAGGTTCATATGTACTACGTTTGTAAGCAATTATCCTGTCCTGGCCAACTTTCCCTCTTTTAGACATTCATTTTCACAATGGGTTGCTATTACTGCGACAAATTCAAAAAGAATTACTGCCAGTTCGTAGATAAGGAAACTGGAGGTAATTATTGCCACCCTTGGTTGGCATACGAGACAGGCCAGGGAGTGGGGATCTAGTGTGTGTATGCATCTTTCTGTGCACACCACTCCTAACCTATCCACCTGCCACTTGTTGCTGGGATGCTGTTGGCTACAAAGTGTCACAGGGTGCTAGGATGCTGTCAGCTACTTAGCATCACTGGTTGTTAGGATGTTATCGGCTACATAGCCATACTGGTTGTTAGAATGCTGTCAGCTACACAGCCAACAGTGTCCTAGCAACCAGTGCCACTGTATAGCTGACAGTGTCCTAGCAATCCATGATGTTGCTCAAAATAAAATGACCACTATTTCATAGAAAAGTAAACTGGAGCTAATTAAGACCAACTCTATGATGGTGTACAGAGACAGGCCAGAGTGATCAGAGTGGTGGCCACAGTGTTTATACATCTTTGTAAGCACCAGCTGTAACTCCCTCACCTGCCACTTGTTAGAATGCTGTCGGCTACATGGTGTCACTGGTTGCTAGGACTTTGTCATCTAAACATCATCTCTGTTTTCTAGGATGGTGTTAGCTACACAGTGTCATTGGTTGCTAAGACCATCAGTTATACAGTGTCACTAGTTGTTAGGATGCTGTCAGCTACACAGCATCATTGGTTGCTAGGATGCTGTCGGCTACACAGCATCACTGGTTGCCAGGAGAACTTAAGCTACACAGCATTACTGGTTGCTAGGATGCTATCAGCTACACAGCATCACTGGTTGCTAGGACCATCAGTGACACAGTGTCACTGGTTTTGCCAGGATGCTGTCAGCCAGATAGCATCACAATTTGCTAAGATACTGTTGGCTACATAGAAACACTGGTTGCGAGGATGCTATCAGCTGCACAGTATCACTGGTTGCAAGGATGCTTTTGGCTACACAGTATCACTGGTTGCAAGGATACTTTTGGCTACACAGCACCACTGGTTGCTAAGATGCAATCCGCTACATAGCATTACTGGCTGCTAGGACCACCAGCTACATAGTGGCATTGGTTGGTAGGAAGCACACCATAACACATAACTAACGTGTTTGGTGTCATAAACCTGCCCCCCCCCCCCAAAGGAAAAACTTGGCTTTAAAGATCTGCAATTAGAGCAAAATACCTATTGATATGCCAGCAACGTATTCAACCCCAGACAACACACAGGTTGGTATCAGCCTTACCCAGTTCTCTTTTGCTAAACTACTCAACTCTCTCTCTGTCTTCATCTCCAGAACAAATACATTAATCATTTTGTAGTCCCAAAATAGGAACTTGGAGGAATAAGTACTCTTACTGAAATAACATAGGCAGTGTGCACAAGGCACAGAACAGGTCTGGTTTTATGGTCGGGTCCACAACATCGAACATTTATAACAAAACACTGAGTGATATATTTAAACAGGCCAAATGGGGAAAAAAAATTAAAGAAGTTCATAGTTCTATACCAAACATCCAGTAGGCCTAGATCACACGAGTGTACTACAACGTAGGCCTGTGTGAGAGCTGAGTTTACCCACACGGGGATGCACTGGTGTTGAATGCACACATGCACCCACACCCAGGGCTAATATAATATAACCTTTCTTTCACCATACCAAGTGAATAATCTGAATATTATCTAACCAAATATTCCCAAAAATAAATACATATAACATGAATGAAAAATAGTCCAATTAAAGTCCAAATCAAAAATCCACCAAAACAAATACAAATAAGTCCAGTAGGAAGGATTCCAATCCTATTTCAATCCTTGTGATACCTCGAAAAAAAAACCCCACTCATATAGTGCATTATCTTCCAAATAACAATTCACAGCAAAAAGTGCAAAAATAAATCTGTGCAAAATCCAAACCACTACAACTGTGATTATTAGTGATTATGCAAGAAAAGAGAAAAAAACAAAATTATTTATAAATGTATATAACCAAAATGTATGTATTAATAATCAACTAAATAAATGTGAACCAAAATCCAATCTTAAAGTGACACTTCAATACATATGGTGAACGCTCAGTGACCACTTCAATTCATACAGTGAACACTCACAATAGTGATATTAAATATCATTACCCTCTGGTAGTATTCATAAGCTTGTCACGATATCCCTGGTAAAAGTATTACTTCCAAGTTTTCCTTCACTTCAGGAGCCCTTCCTGCATATTCCTCATAAAGCAAAGGAGACTCATATAATAGATTTCCAAGTATAGGGATAAATTTATTAAATAACTTACATTGGGGATATTAAATATCAGCTCTGTGGCAAACAAAACCAGCCTTGCAATCGATAGGGCATCAAAACCACGTTTTCCAGCAGTCAAAATGGCCGTGGTGGCACTTCCGGTTTTCATGCGCGTGTCTTGACGTCACGTCCCCTAACGCGTTTCGTCACTTCCGGACTTCGTCTGAAGGGATCACACCCCAGGGCTGCTGTTAGAAACCACGGGGCCCAAAATAGCCAACCTGACAGCGCCCGCCCCCCCCCAAATAAAAAACACAATTTACTATGCTTCAAATATGAATGAACACTGTGAGTGGTTGGTACTGATCACTCATTGTGCTCTTTCAGGAAAGGAAAGGGCTGGTAAATGTGACATATTTACAGGACCCTTCTCCCACTCTCCATCCTGAAGGTGCTGGTAGGAAGCAGAGGAGGGAGGCAGTGGCACTGCGGGGTAGGGGCACACAGGAGGGGCCTGGGCAGCAGGGGGAAATGTATGGTGAACAGGGATGGTCATGGGTGCAGCAGGGGGAAATTACTGGAACAGATCCCCGGTATGGCTCTCTCTACAGCAGCTGAAAGCCAGTGGGAGGGAGAGGAGAAGAAGCCAACTTTCAGCTGCTGCTAAGAGAGCCATATAGGGGATCGGTTCCGGTAATTGTCCCCCACAATGAGCTGATAACCCTCCCTGTCCACATCCGATTCACCTAGCTGCCTAGGCCCCCTTGCTGGCCTGAGCACCGTACATGAGGACTGGTGGTACCAGGGGTGGACTGACCATTTAGAAACTAGGGCACTGCCCGAGGGCCTGGGGTCAGTAGGGGGCCCCCTGAGATGGCCCTGGTACCTTTTTCATAGGCTTTTTTGAGTTTTGGCAAGGACACAGGGGCCCCATGATCCCCTATTGCCCGGGGGCCCCATGAGTTGTCAGTCCGCCCCTGGGTGGTACCGCCTTATCCATGGCCCTTCCCACCCCTGCATAGATGTCAATTGGGAGCAGCGACTGTGTCCATGCCCTTGCTAAGTCTTAATTAACATCAATGGGACTGCCTGCACATGGATGCATGGAATACCTGTGCATCCTGGTGTGGATACACATGGCGCTTGCACAGGCGTACGCTGTAGTACACCCATGCGAACGTAGCCTAAGGCAGGTTTGCTGCAACACAACATTTTTTGTTTCTTGTACAATATGTTACAGTGGTTTGTTACAAAGGACAACAATTACAGCTGCTAAACTGTTGCTCTTTGTAACAATTCTCTTTTCACTACACTCATCTCTGTAATGTTTTTGCTATAAAGATGATGCATTGAGAAAGCTGGGTGTGGTGCTGCCAACCTGTGTTTTATACAGTATATACTATATATCATTTAATATTAATATATTTACAGTATATATTTAATTTTTCTTGATATGCAATCTATGGGGGTTATTTATCTAAAACTGGAGAGTGCAAAACCTGGTGCAGCCCTGCATATTAACCAATCAGCTTCCAGGTTTTATTGCCAAAGCTTAACTTAAGCTGAAGATAGAAGCTGATTGGCTACCATGTACAGCTGCACCAGATTCTGAGTGCACCAGTTTTAGTAAATCTCCTGTAACTTCTTGTGCTATGTACATTTGAAGTGTTTTACCTTTATATAGTACTGTTAATGTGTCACTAATTGATATCTTCATTCTTCAAAAATACTCCATACACATCAACTACTTAAAGCTGAGTTCCAGCAAAACTATAAATAAATTAAAGTCAGCAGCTGCAAAAACCTGTAGACACTGACCTGTCCCTCGATCCCACGGTGTCCCCCCCCCGCAGCCCATTTCACTGGCTGCCCTGTGTTCCTGGCGCTGGCATCTTCAGTGTGGGTACCCGGCTGTGACAGCTTGTAGCTTCACAGCCGGTTGCCCACTGCACATGCGCGAGTATCGCTACGCTTTCTGAATGGTCCTGTAGTCTTCTGGGACCTGTCGCATGTCCCAGAAGACTACAGGGAGGAAGGGCAACTCCAGCTTATGATCACCTAGGTGATCGCAGCAGAAGTGGGAGCGGAGGGCCAGTCCTTAATGCAGAACTTCCCTTTTTGGGTGGAGCTCCACTTTAATGGTCCTGTAATCTATTTTTCATTAAATATTTCCTAAGGGCTTGTTTAGACTTGCGGTTGGAGGACGTTAAAAAACGCATGGTTGAGACATAAATGGAGTTGATAGGTGTTGAAATTTGTACCTGTTAATCTACATCCATCTTTCCCCTATATTCATTCAAAGAGCAGAATTTACACAAGATTTCTCAGTTCTGAAATGCAGGGGGTGTGGACCTAAAGTTACATCAGTGGGGGGAGCTCTGAGAGCTGATTGGCGGGAAGGGACACACTCCCTTTACACAGCTCACAGGAACAGAGTTGAGGATGTAAATGTTTTGGAGGTCCCTGCCCTGTCACCATTTTTCTCTTGGTGTCAGGAAAACTTGTCAGAAGTGATTCATGCTGATAGCAGAGGAACAAAGCAGTGAACAGAAAAAAACACAGTGCTCTGGATTGAGACAAGTACACACTATAGAGGGATATGCTTTGTTCATATTTCATGTCTGAGGTTTTTTTTTTTTTTTTAATTCTTTTAATTGAAAGGTTTAACATAGTATACAACATACAAAACATTGAAATTTAGCTGCAAGTCGCCATCAGCAACAAGCAACGTAAAAAAGGGAAAAACATTAAAAAAAAAAACAACAAAAAAAAAAAAAACAAACCAGTAACCATGCCTGCAGATGTCCCAATATGCAACCGTAGTAGGATGGGCATACAAAATACAAGAGTAGCCCGCCATGTTTTACTGTGCAGTATTACATGAAGAGCGCAATTCACACTCCAGTACAAAGCAAAGAGGTAAGCTTAGTCAAGCAGTGCAACAAGCTAAATCCAATATACAATAAGTACTGTTGCAGAGAAACCCCAATAGGAGAAAAACTCATTGGAATATCACGTCTTATTAACCTGGGATTTCCAAGCTTCCACCGTAGGAGCATGCGTTTTTTTTTCCCTATGAGAGAACAATCAGTTTTCTAGCATGGAAGAAAAGTAAGGTAAGTAGTGAGCGTATAGCTTTAGTGGGGGGCTAGATCATCTACAAAACTTAGTAGGCAATGTCTCACAGAAGGGTGTAGCGGTATAGTGGTAACAGCTTGAATGCACCGGAGGACCCCCAACCAGAACCCCTGTATAGCTGGACATTCCCAAAATATATGCATGAAATCAGCCCCATCCACCTAACAATGCCAACAGGAGGAGGAGGCTGATCCAAAGATCTTAGTTTGGGGTCATGGATATATGGTGTAAGAATTTAAAGTATATTAAATGGTCATGAGTGGAGACCAGCCTGGTGAAAAGAGCATCCCATATGTCTTCCCAGTCCTCTGTGTCCAGGAGAGGGACCACTGCCTCCCACCTAGTCCTACACATTTCCAGGAGTTTACGGGTTTTCGGGTAAAAGAGACATAAATAGTGGACAAGAGCTTAGATAACTCATTATCCTGCAGTAAAGACTCTAAGTCTGAGGGGGAAAAGGGAACCCCAGAGTGCCCAAATTGCACCTGATAAGCATGCCGCAATTGGATATATATAAAACGGCTTATTGGGCAGGTGAAACAAGGCCTTTAACTTATCAAACGTTCTTAATCGTCCATTGTTTGTAATGTCCCCTAACTATTTGACCCCATATATCGTCCATACAATAGGGTCCTGATATGTGTGTGTAAAAATGGGGTAGGTTAGGATTTTTCCAAGAGGGAGCATGGGGGGAGGGAGCAAAAGGTCCCCCCAAGTTCAGCCCCGTGTGCCATAGACCAAGCCCTTATCATAGATCTCATTGAGACTGTCAAAACATATAGGAACTTCAGACCTCTGTGTACCAGATGGGCCAAGGCTTCATAGGAGCCAACCACTGCCGCCTCCAAGGCAACTGTAGCATCATTCTGAGGGCTCATCAGCCATCTATGTGCAAAAATTAATTGAGCAGTTACGAAATATTTATAAAAGTTGGGTACTGCTAGACCACTTTCCTTCCAAGGTTGTTGTAGGATCCCAAGCCAAAGCCTGGGAACTCCATCTTGCCACAGAAACTCAGAAATTAAATCATGTATACATTGGAAAATAGTATGGTGAATCCACACTGGAGAGTTTTGCAGGATATATAACAGAAGTGGAAGAAATTTCATTTTGATCAAATTAGCCTTGCCAATCATCGAGAGAGGAATATTTCTCTAGGCACTGATCTTTTGCTTGAAATGGGAAAGGATAGGGGAAACATTCAACCATATAAAATTAGACACTGAATCAGTAAAAGTTATCCCTAAATATTTTACTTGGCCCCCCCCCCTTGGCACAGTGAAATAGGCCGCGGTTGTCTACCTGCGTCCCTGCCCAAAGGGAGAACCTTGGATTTAAGCCAATTCACCTGAAGACCAGAAAAGGAAGCTATATGATCTAATATGGATAGAGTAGATAACAAGGAGGCCCTGGAATCTTCCAGAAAGAGCACCACATCATGAGCATAAAGGGCAGTTTTTTCTTTCAAGCTCCCCACCTGCACCCCACACATGGAGGAGGAGGCCCGCAAGGCCAAGGCAATGGGTTTCATCATTAAAGCAAAAAGCCCGGGCGACAGGGGAAAACCCTGTCTGGTGCCATGGCCTACCAGAAAGAACTCAGAAAGTCTGCCACCAGTTTTTATGGCAGCAACAGGAGGATCATAGAGCAAACCTATCCAATGGAGGAACACCTCCCCAAATCCCATACGTATCAGGACTGCCTGCAAATAACCCCAATCCACAGAATCAAATGATTTTTCAATGTCTAAAAAGACCAATATGGACCCTCCAGGTGCAGTCCATTCTGTGTAAATATCCTCCTAAGATTAATGCATCTGGCCTTTTCTGGGCATAAAGCCCATATGATCTGGGGACACTAGAAGATAAAGGATTCTAGTAAGTCTAGTTGCAAGCATCTTAGTAAGGATCTTGAGATCCTTATTTAAGAGGGCAATAGGCCTATAAGAGGCACAGTGTAACAAGTCCTTATCAGGTTTGGCTAACAAAATTACAGAGCATCCAGAAAGTGTTCACAGCGCTTAACTTTTGCCATATTTGTTATGTTACATTCCAAAATGGATTAAATTAATTTTTTTCTTCAGCGTTCTACAAACAATAGCCCATAATGACAATGTGAAAGAAGTTAGTTTTGAAATCTTTGCAATTTATTAAAAATAAAAAAAAACACATGCATATAAGTATTAATAGCGTTTGCCATGACACTCAAAATTGAGCTCTGGTGCATCCTGTTCCCACTAATCATCCTTGAGATGTTTCCACAACTTGACTGGAGTCCACCTGTTGGAAATTCAGTTGATTAGACATGATTGGGAAAGGCATAAACCTGTCTATATAAGATCCCACATTTAACAGTGCATGTTAGAGCACAAACCAAGCCATGAAGTCCAAGGAATTGTCCGTAGTCCTCCGAGACAGGATTGTATCAAGGCACAAATCTTGAGAAGGGTACAGAAAAATTTCTGCAGCATAGAAGGTTCCAATGAGCACAGTGGCCTCCATCATCCATAAATGAAGAAGTTTGGAACCACCAGGAATCTTCCTAGAGCGGGCCGCCCGGCCAAAATGAGCGATTAAGGGAGAGGGGCCTTAACCAGGGAGGTAACCAAGCTCCCGATGGTCACTCTGAAAGTGTACCAGAAGAACAACCATCTCTGCAGCACTCCACCAATCAGGCCTGTATGGTAGAGTGGCCAAACAGAAGCCACTCCTCAGCAAAAGGCAAATGGAGTTTACCAAAAGGCACCTGAGGGACTCTCAGACCATGAGAAACAAAACTCTCTGGTCTGATGAAACAAATATTGAACTCTTTGGCTTGAATGCCAAGCATCATGTCTGGAAGAAACCAGGCACTGCTCACCACCTGGCCAATACCATCGCTACAGTGAAGCATGGTGGTGGCAG